ATGCTTTATTTTAATGTTTATTTACTTTTGAGAGGGAGAGCAACAGAGTACAAGCAGGGGAAGGGCAAAGATAGAGGGAGGCACAGAATCCAAAACAGTCTCCAGGCTCTGAGCTGTCAGCACCAGAGCCTGACTGACACAGGGCTCAAACTCAACAGCAAATTCATGACCTGAGCCAAAGTCAGATGCTTAACCAAAGCCACCCAGACATTCCTCTTTCTCTCTTTTTCTTTAGATCACTGTGCTATCATTTGTTTATTTCCAATATGTTATTTAAAAACAGGAATACACAATATCATGGAGGTTAGAGATATGTATTGCACCCAAAACAAACCCAAACAAATTTAAACTCTGAGGAACTTATACCTGAAAAGGAAAGGATGTTGCTGAATCTGCTGTGACTGTCAGGGGCTGCTGTGAAACTAGTTCTCCAAATTACCTTCTGTATGGAACACACCTGTCTGTTTGTCAGGGGCCACTCAGGAGACACACGCCACACTAGTAATTTGAATAGGGACAATTTTATAAAGAATGATTAACTAGTAGAGGGGATTAGCTACAAAGAGAAGTAAAGAAAACTCTAAACAGTATGAGACTAGCACATGTAGGAAGCAGTCATTATCTCTAGAGCTGAAAGAGTACTCAATTGTTATCAGTTTTCAATTGCCGAGTACAAAGTTAGTTTAAAACAATACCTATTTAGCTGGTTTGGAAAACAGCATGGTGGTTCCTCAAAAAATTAAATGTAGAGTTACATATGATCCAGCCATTCTCCTTCTGGGTATACACCCAAAATAATCGAAAATAGGGACCTGAAGACTTATTTGTACACCTAGGTTCAGAGCAGTATAATATACAATAACCAAAAGGTGGATAACAAATGAAGTAACCATTAGTGGATGAATGAATAAACAAAATGTGGTACATTTATGTAATGGACTGTTCTTCAGCCTTAAGAAGAAAAGAAATTCTGACACATGATACAGTGTAGATCAACCTTGAAAACATGCTGAATGAAATAAGCCAGTCACAGGACAAATGATGTGTGCACACCCTTGTATGGTACCTGGTGTAGTCAAATTCATAGAGACAAGAAAGTAGAATATTGGTTGTCAGCAGCTTTGGAAGGGGTAGGCATGGGGATTTATTATTTAATGGGGATGGAGTTTCAGTTTCAGATGATGAAAAATTCTGGAGATGGATGGGGTTGATGCTTGTCCAACAATGTGAATATTCTTAATGCCACTGAACTGTATACTTAAAAATGGTTAAAATGGTAAATTTTATATGATGTTATTTTGCCACATTAAAGAATTTTTAAAAACCCCACTTATTTGTTAGTTCACAGTTCTGTAGGTATGAAAATGTAAGGATAAGTGAAGACTGAAATCAAGGTGTCAGCCAGACTGAGTTCTTGAATTCAGACTCTAGGGGAGTATTCACTTCCAAGATCATACTTGTTTTTGTCAGAGTTCAGTTCCTTGCAGTTGTAGGACTGAGGTCTTCATTTCCAGCTAGCTGTCAACGGGGGCCCACCCTAATCTCCTACCTGCCACCCACATTCCTTACCATATGGTCCCCTCCATCTTCTAGCCAGCAATGGCAGGTCAAATCCTGCTGTGCTTTGACTCCTTGTTTTTTCCTCTCACCTCTAGACCCAGACAAAGGATTTATGTGATTAGGTTGGTTTCACCCAGATAATCTCCCTTTCTTAAAGTCAATTATGCCGTAAAACATAATCTGATCACAGGATTAGCATTCATCATATTCTCAATCTTAGGAATTACACAGGGCATGTACACCAGGGGGAGACTGCCTGGAGGCCATTTTAGGATTCTGCTCACCACACAAAGAAAGGAACAAATTTTAAGATGCTGCTTCCCCGAGGCAGGGATTTGGACCTTGTGGGACAGTGACAGAGTTCACTGAAGTTCTGAAGGCCAGAGCCGATGAGTAGAAAACCGTCTATTGGAATGTTGGCAGAGCTCACTGAATCCTCTCACTGGGGTGCTCTTGAAACTCCCTAGGAAGCCACCTTCTGGCTGCCATGCACTAGGAGCAAGAAAGACTTTGGAACCAGTAACAGAAGCACCTCTCTTTTGCAGTACCCCTCTAGGACCCTCTACTGGCATAACCTAACATTATGCCAGCTGGCAAAGGAAAAATATTCAGAGTCCAGCTTCAGTATCTCATAGCAGGTAACAGAAGGATAAATTTGTAGCTCATAGACAAAAAAATTGATAACTGGGACGAAGGATAAGCAATAAAATATGAAAATTTGAAGTTTACATATGTGTGTAGAAATACATATATAAGCATAAACATGTGTATATTTATCTAGTCATTGCAGCAATTTTTAGCACTTAAACCAACAAAAAAATTCTTTACTTAGAGAAAGAGTATTTTATCACTGACATTGTTTAGAATTTCTGGAGTTTGGTGAAAGTAAGAAACAGACCAATTGATTTTTTTACTTGTTTTATTGTTTTAAAACTCCCCGCAGCAATGAACACCATACCTATGTCCAGGGTTGACTGCCCTCTTTCTCCCTGATTCTGTCTCCTTCTCTCTTCCCTCAGAAGTCACCACTATTGTGAATTTTGTGTTTATCATTCTGTTACTTTTCTTTGGTTTTGCCTAATACGTTTGTAGCTGTAAACAATGGATCATTTAATTGGGTGGATTTCTGAATTTATGTCATTGGGCTCACTGCATATATTTGCACCTTTCTTTTCCACAGTGTGTTGTAGCACATTCAGTTTGAACACTGCTCTAACCTGAACACAGCATTTTGGGCTATCTCCTTAGTTCACTATTTGTTCTCAGTCAGCTCTGATTTCTCCCTCATTGAGGTGGACACCTGTTGCTTTTACCTCTACACCATCCCTTAGTCTGGGGATATCCTTTGGAGAATCACTCCTCTCTTTGTCCAGGTCCAAGCAGAGTGAATTGCTTAAAACCCTGAGGAGGTAAAGAATTTGCCCTGCTTGAAATCCAGGTACTGCACTGTCTAATATGGTACTACTAGCCACATGTGGCTATTTAAGTTTAAACGAATGAATATTACATAAAACATTTGGTTCCTTACTTACACTATCCATATTTGAAGTGCTTAATGGCCACATGTGGCCAATGGGTCCCATGTTGGATAGTGCAAATATAGAACATTTCCTTTATCACAGAAAGTTCTATTGGGTAGGGCTGGTCTAAAATAATTGGAAGTGATCACGGGGGAATGTCAGGAGGTGATGCTAGAGAGCGGAGCAGAGACTGTATCCATGAAGGTCATGATAAAGAGTTTGGATTTTAAGTCCAGTTGAAAGTCACTGATGGTTTCTAAGCAAGGGAATGACATTGCCTGATTTATGTTTTAAAGTGCTGCTGTGTGGAGAAGCATGGCAAGGAGGCAGAATTGGAAGAGGGAGAAAAAGGGGGAAAAGCTAAGTAAGTTTTCAGAAGGGTCCAGGCAAGTGATGATGGTGGCTTGTGCTAATGAAACTGGATTGAAAAGGACAGGTACTGGAGATGTGTAGATGATACAGCTGATAGAACTTACTGTTGGTAATGACAGGGAGGGAGCTATGTTGGCTGTGAGAGTGGCCCTGTCAACCTTTGGGGAGTGTGATTGATTCACTCTAAATCAGTGGTCTCAACCGTGGCTGTAACTCTGGAATCTTCTGTAGGAGCATTAATAAATACAAATGCTCAGTCTCTCACCTTGGGAATCTAATATAATTGGCTTGGAGTGGGTCCTGGACATTTGTATTGTTTTTTGTTTTCTTTGTTTTTTTTTCTTTTCTTTTCTTTTCTTTTTTTTACAAATAGTTTATTGTCAAGTTGGTTTCCATAAAACACCCAGTGCTCATCCCCACAAGTGCCCTCCTCCATGCCCATCACCCACCCTTCCGCCCACACCCATCAGTCCTCAGTTTGTTCTCAGCATTCAAGAGTCTCTCATGGTTTGCCTCTCTCCCACTATTTCCCCCCTTTTTCTCCTCTGTTAAGTTCCTCCACATTTGTATTGTTTTTTAAAAGCTCCTCAGGTAATTTTAGTATGCGTCCAAGGTTGAGAATCACTTACAGGTTTTTTTTTTTATTGTTTATTTTTGAGACAGACAAGCCACGAGTGGGGAAGGGACAGAGAGAGAGGAAGACACAATCTGAAACAGACTCCAGGCTCTGTGCTGTCAGAACAGAGCCCGATGCAGGGCTCAAACCCATGAACTACAAGATCATGACCTGAGCCAAAGTTGGGCACTTAACCCACTGAGCCACCCAGGAATCCCTTTAAATAAAAGGAACACTGAAGAGCCTGTGCTGGGTTCCAGCACAGTAACTGGAACAGAAATTTAGTGGTTTGATGGTATAGTTCAGTTCAGAATAATACTTGATTCCTAAGACCAGGAATACAATAAAATGACCATAAAAAAGTAAAAATACAGCTCAAGGCATCAGTGGGTCAAGAGTTCCAGCTTCAATGAGAGACCGACCTTGGCACTGGCATTGGCATCCATGTTCCTAGCACAGTTATCTGTAGGAACCGTCAGTGGAGATATCTTTAATAGGAATGGGCTAACAGTTTTATCATCAGCAGAAGACATCACTATAGTTAACATGCACTGGAAAGGCAGGAGTGGAAAAGAGATAAGCAATGAGGTCATTGTATTTGAGATTGCTTTTGTCTGCCAGCATCATTTCCTTGAGAGGACCCCTCTCCACCTCCTTGCTTTGCAAGTGGAGTTGCCCATCATGATGTCCTATTTTGGCCACCAGGTGGGCCAGTCAGAGTGTAGCTTTCTCCTGGACTCAGTGATTGGTCCAGGCATTGGTTACATACCTCAAAAAGTACCAATCCCTGTCCTTCCATAGGATTTTAGGTCTACATGCTGCATGAGATGGCATGATTCAGGTTCTTTCTGTGTTTGTTATAAATGGCTATGTAACAAATTACTGTAGAACATGGTGGTTTAAATAATAACAATATTATCTCTTATAGTTTCTGCAGGTCAGAACTTCAGATAGGGCATAGTGGGATGGATTGTCCCTGTTCTAAGATGACTGTGATATCAGCTGGAAGACTTTGCAGCTGGGGACTAGAATTATCTGAAGACTCATCCACCCACATGTTTGGTTGTTGATGCTGGCTGTCAGGTGAGCCTAATGGCATTGTTGTGTGTCTCTAGCCTCAGGAGGTGGTTGAGCCACAGACCAGAGTCTAATCATTCTCACACTACTGGGAAACCAGCCCTCAGTGGGCCAGATTCGCTAGACCATTCCTGCAAGGTGACTTTCACAGGGACTCCAGAGTCATTGAGCACAAAATAGACTGTGTTTTCTAATCCTGAGAAGGCAGGATGTCATTTAGTCAGCTCAAGAAAAAAAGTTCAGCCTGAAGATAAGTGGAAACCAAATTTGTCTGCCTTTCATCTAAGTCCCAAGGTTGGAGAAAGATCCGGGGAGTGGGACTGGTTTATGACATCTAACAGGTTGTTAATTACCTTGAATGGGTCCCACGTGATGCTTTTAAGCACATGGCTTTTGCCCAGGGAGGATGGAGTGGGCATTTTGGTTTGGGCCAGGGGCAGGACGTGAGTGAGGTTTTATAGATCCATATCCTTGGCTGTTCTGAGCTCATCCTTGTGATGATGAGGCTGGTGTGGTCAATGGGACAGAGGGTATGAGCGTGATCAGACCCAAACAGTGAGTGCGGTTTCTTGTTCCTCATTATTTTGCCATAACTCAGAAGCATTGTGATGGGGTATAGTAGGGGTGGTGATTTCTTCCCCTGGGTTTGTTCTCCCCAAATGACGCTTTTTCAGCAATTTGTTCAAGGTAGGTGGCTGTATGATTTATCATCCTAACCTGGTCACACTGTTACTTGCACTAGGACATCAGGTGCAAATAAAGATTTTACTGGGCAGACAGAGTTGGAGGATTATCCTAGGTAAGGGTGGCAACATGCTTGTGGAAAGATGGTGGAGAAGGTGGTATGAAAGCAAGGCTGACAGGTGTGTCAGGCAAGAGAGGGCAGTCAGATGGTGGAAGCTTCTTAATTGAGCTAGCTTCTGACTCAAGTCCCTACCACCTGATGGTGGAACTTGGCCATTCCTCTGTAAACTGCATTCTGCCCCCTTCTAGCCTGCTGACCCAGTTGGCTGGATTTAGGGGGTGGTTTCTGAAAAGTTGTGCTTATGTCATTGACTGCGCCTTTTTACTTTTTAGTTGATGTATAATATATGGTAAACAAAATTTACATATGTTTATGTGTGCGTATACCACCACCCAGATCAAGATTTGGGATGTTTATCTGGCTAGAATATTTGAACTTCTTTCATCCTGCTAAGAGAAGACCATGGTTGTTTTGCTCACTTCAGCCTCCAAATCTCACTGCAGTAACTTCCTATGGCTGCTGTAACACGAGCACAAATGTAGTAGCATAAAACAACACAAAGTTAGGGGCCGTTTGGGTTGGCTCAGTTGGTTAAGGGTCCAACTTCGGCCTAGGTTATGATCTCACAGTTTGTGGGACAGCTCAGAGCCTGGAGCCTGCTTCAGATTCTGTGACTCCCTCTCTGCCTCTCCTTCATCTGTGTTCCATCTCTCTCAAAAGTAAATAAACATTAAAACAACAACACAAAGTTATTATCTTATAGTTCTGGAGGTCAAATTCTGAAGTGGGTCTCACTGAGATAAAATTAAGTTGTCAGCAGGGCTGTGTTCCTTGTGGAGACTCTAGGAGAGAATGTTTCCTTTGCTTTTTCAGCTTCTAGAGATTCTAGAACCATTCCTTGGCTCTTGGCTCCTGCATCTTCAGGTAATCAGTGCCCAGCTGACTCAGTACATTGCATCCCTCTGACACTCAGGTTTTTTGCCTCCCTCTTTTATGCTTAAAGACCATTGTGATTATGGTGGGCCCACCTGGGTAATCCAGGATAATCTCCCCATTTCAAGATTAGCTGTTTAAGAAACTTAATCCCATCTGCAGTCTTTTTTTTTTTTTTTTAATGTTTATTTATTTTTGAGAGAGAGAGCACAAGCAGAGGAGGGGCAGAGAGGGAGACAGAGAATCTGAAGCAGGCTCCAGACTCTGAGCTGTCAGCACAGAATCTGGCATGGGGCTTGAACTCACCAACTGTGAGATCATGACCTGAGCCAAAGTCAGATGCTCAACCGACTGAGCCACCCAGGTGTCCGTGCAATTTTTTTTCTTTTAAATGTTTATTTATTTATTTTGAGACAGAGAGGTGGGGGGAGAGAGAGAGAAAACACGAGCAGGGGAGGAGCAGAGGGAGAGAGAGAGAATCCCAGAGCCTGTCACAGGGCTTGATCTCAGATACCACAAGATCATTACCTGAGCTGAAATCAAGATGCTTAACTGACTGAGCCACCTAGGTGTCCCCCAACATTTGCAATTTTAATCCTCCCTTTAATGGGGAGTGGGTTGTGGACATCATGGCAGGGGCCCCATTATTCTGGCTATCACACATGCTTGTATTAACCTGTTCACTAATTAGGGAAAAGACAAATCCACCTTAACAAATTATACTATTTTCACTGTTAAGCAGTCCAGATTTCTGCATGGGAGTTTGGGAGGAGAGAATTTATATGTACTGAATACTGAATGTTGTCTGATACATAGTTTGTGATTTCATAAAGATTATTTCACTTATTTCTCCTGGAAGTCTTTGGTGATGGGTGGTTAGGGATGCTTTTTGCTACAAGGAACTTAGAGCCTGACTTACAGTGGTCTAAATAAATAGGGGGTTGTTTATATCATGAAGAAGATGTCTGGAGGTAGGCAGCTGTTGACCTTGACTTAGCACTTCAGCAGTGTCAGGACTGTTTTCTCAGAGTTCCCTTGGCTTTTTCTCACTGCTTACTGCCTCGTGTTCAGAAGAAAGCTGCCCCTGCTGCAGGCATCATATCTTTTCAAAGCAAAAAAGGGGCAAAGGGAAAGATGGCATCAGCTACACCTGTTTATTTATTCATTAAAAACATTTTTTATTTAAATTTTTTATTTTTTATGGAGAATGCAAGTGGGAGATAGGGGCAGAGGGAGAGAGAGAATCTTAAGTGGGCTCCATGCTCAGTGCAGAGTCTGATGTGGGGCTCAATCCCAGGACTCTGGGATCATGATGTGAGCCAAAATCAAGAGTTGGACGCCTAATGGACTGAGCCACCCAGGAGCCCCTGTTTTGCATTTTAAGAGAATTTCATATAAATGAAATCATATAGCATGTATGCTTCTGTGTTTGTCTTCTTTCTTCACCGTAGGGTTTTTGAGATTCACCCATTTTATGCATGGATCAATAGTTTGTTCCCTTTTATTGCCAAAATGTGTTACATTGAATGGATGTACCACAGCCTTGTTTATCCTTTCTTCTGTTGATGGTTATCTGGGTTGTTTCCAGTTTTGGCTATTATTAATTAAGTTGTATGAATGTTCTTGTATAAGTCTTTTTGTGGGCATGTGCATTCATTTCTGTTAGATGTAAACCTAGGAGTGGAATTGCTACATGCATATTTGTTTTATTAGAAACTGCTTGGCTGCTTCTTGCTAATGGCCCTCCTAAAATAAGAGAGATGGGGAATGTAGGGAGAGAGTTCTGGGAGCAGAGGAGGTTCAAAGACTTTAAGCATATAAATAAGTCATGAATCATAGGTATGTAGCACCTGCAGTTTATGAAAATGCACGATGAGGCCAGGTGGGATTGGGGAATGGCTCCTCAGCCTCAGCCACTCTGTCATGTGGGAATAGGAAACCAAGTATTTCCAGATATTCTGATTTTAGTCTTTTGGTTCTCAATCTTGGCCACCCATTGGAATCACCTGGGAGATTTAAAAAATGCTGATGCCTGAGTCCTGCCCATAGAGATTCTGAATGAAAAGGGTAGAATGTGGCCTGAGTATCTGGATTTTTAAAAAGCTCTTCAGGTCATTCTAATATTTAGCCAGGTGTGTGAACCACTGTCCTAAAGCAAGTCCTTCTCAAACTTTAATGTTAAAATGTGAATTGTGATTTATAATGTCTGGGGTGGGACCTAAGATTCTGCATTTCTGAAAAGCTCCCAGTTGGTGCCAACCCTACTGGTCTGTGGCCTCACTTTGAGTAGCAGTGTTCTAAGAGAAGCTGCAAATAAGGATTTTAAAGTGGGAAATCTCCTAATAGAAAAACCATTGGTCATGCTAAGCAAGTCCGCCTTCTGGGTCTCCCTGTGGGTTCTACTGGTTTAATATATTTCTCTCTGTCTCTCTGCCTCTCTCTTTAAATATCTCCTTTGTAGGGTTCCTATTGTGGCTAGGACACAGAGGTCTTACGAGGTCTGTGACAAAGTCCCTGACATTCAGGGGCTCAGAGCTGTATTGGTCTGGAGGCAGGGATAGACAGGAAGGTGGGCGAGCTCTCAGCCTGTTTGGGAACATGGTAATCTGGTAAATGCCTTGGAACAGTCTTCCCCACACCACCTCAGGGCAATCTCACCCATAATTGGCATAACTGGCTTTCCTGCAGATGAGAAGAGGCTAGACAAGGTCCAGACAGCTCCCCATCACACCCCGGCCTTAGGAGCACGCATTTCTACTCTCCCTTTATCAGATCAAAGTCTTCCATCAAGCTGTCTGGTTCTGTCTTATTCAATTAAATTTTTTAATTCAATTTGACCCATGCATTCATCTTCTTTGAAATCTGAGAGACGACAGCATCCGCTACAAATTGAGAGTAAATGGTCGAATTAGCTTTCAGAGAGGATTCAACAAGACTGTTTATTTCCAGAGACCAACAGGCTCTTTGGAGGCAGCTGGATCATGGAAGAAGCTGGCTGGGGGCTTGGGAGGAGGAGAGGAGAGTCCTAAGTACACTTCACCTTGGGATCCTTGGAGAGATGGCATAGCACATGGCCCCTGGTGTCAGAGTGTCTGGGGTCAAATCCAGTTAGGTGATGTCAAGGCAAATGCTTAAAACCTCTTGCCTCAGTTTTTCCACCTGTAAGATGAGGTTGATGGTAATAGTACTTACCTCCTAGGGCTGTTGGGAGGATTAAGTGCATCCATACATGTAAAACACACAGAGTGGTGCCTGACACATGACAGTAGGTGTTAGCCAGTATTGTTATTGTGCTGTACCGTTTATGTGCCATATCCATACACAGTAC